GATCTGGAATTTACCTTGGGTGTGTTATGAGATGTATTTCTTTTTCATATAGATAAGCAATTATCCCAGCACTCACTCGTAAATGCCACCTTTATCATATATTGAGTTTCTATACATGCACTGGTCTGTGTCCGACTCTACTTTGTACCATTGATTTGTCAATCCCTGTGCCAATATTACATTGTCTCAATTATGTATTTTATTACCATGTCATGATTTCTGATAAGGCAAGCCCACATCTTCTTCACTAGTGTCTTGGCTATTCTGGTCCTTTGCCTTTCAATACAAACTTGAGGTTTTGTCTGTCAAGTTCCACACCAAAGCAAATCCAACATCCTAAAAGGATGTAATTAGAGTTACATTGGAATTTTAGATTTCGGGAGAACTACCATCCTGAGTATACAGTCTCCTCTTCCATGAATATGGATATGATTTCTATCTCCATTTACTTAGTGGATAACTTTGTCTTATTACTGACTTGAATGAGACTTTCTAAAGTTTCATCATTAAGTGTAATGTTTGCTGTAGTATTCATGTTTTTAATTCTGGAAAATTCTCACATTATTTTTTTCAAAATTGCCTCTTCCTCATTCTATTCTTCCCTTCTTGGTTTTGTGTTGGACCTTCTGCTTATATGTGCCATGTCTCTTAACCTCTCTTTCTTATTTTCCAACTCTTCATATCTCTGTAATACTTTCTCAGAAATTTCTTCACATTTATCACCTAGGTCATTAATTTTCTCTTCAGCTATGTCTGATCTTTTTATCCCATTCACGGACATCTTCATTTTAATAACTATAATTTTCATTTCCAGTAGTTCTATTTGGGTCTTTCAAATCTGCTTGTTCTTTTTTCTTAGTAATTTGTTGTTTTTTTATGTTTTCAATTCTTTAGTTTTTATCTTTGGTCATTTTAAACCTACTTATTTTACAATTGTTTCACTATCCAATTGTTTTATTATCTGGAATTCTTAGAGAACTAACCTTACTGTTTGTCATCTCTGTTAACTCTTGCCCATGGTCAACTGTTTCCTCATGTGACTGGTAATTTTGGATTTCAAGCTCATCTTCAATGAAGCTTTATCTGTGGGTATCCTAAGTGGCTGGAGGTGAAAGAATGTCTCCTTATAGAAGTTTTTGGTCTTATTCTGTCAAATAGCCAAAGGATATCAATGGCTAGGGCTAATTTTCATACAGCATGAGTCCCCAAACCCATGGAGATTCAGACTATTTTAAAATTCTCAATCTAGGGCCGGCCCCGTGGCTTGGCGGTTAGGTGCGTGCGCTCCGCTGCTGGCGGCCCGGGTTCGGATCCCGGGTGCGCACCGATGCACCGCTTCTCCGGCCATGCTGAGGCCGCGTCCCACATAAAGCAACTAGAAGGATGTGCAACTACGACATGCAACTATCTACTGGGGCTTTAGGGGAAAAATAAATAAATAAATAAATAAAATCTTTTTTAAAAAAAATAATAAAATTCTCAATCTATACTTTTTCCCCTCTACTCTCCAAAATCCAGGTTAAAACAAACAAGTTGCCTGTCATCTTCCTGGGGCAATAAAGGAAGGAGATCTCGGTTCTAATTCTCTGCCAATTTCAAAGGCCCAAAGGTTCTTCACTCTTTTTCACATAAGTGATAAAACCCAAGCCTCTAGAAGACTAAGTTAACAGCATCCCACCCAGTGTAGCCACAGTGACACCTCACATGCTTGCCACTCTGACTTTTAGTTACCCCTTCCTGTCTGGCAATTCTTTTACTTCTTTATAAGCCCAACTATGCAATGAAAAAAATGTTTGTTACATGTAGTAAAGAGGTTTTTAGGTTATCTAGTCCACAATATTGCCAGAACCAGAAAATTTACTGTCAAGTTTTTAAAAAGCAAACTACAAAAAAAGTATGTACATATATTTTTTTCATCCCCCAAAGCCCCAGTACATAGTTGTATACTCTAGCTGTAAGTCCTTCTAGTTCTTCTATGTGAGCCGCCACCACAGCATGGCCACCAAGAGACGACTGGTGTGTTTCTGCGCCCAGGAACCAAACCTGGGCCACTGAAGTGGAGCGTGCCGAACTTTAACCACTAGGCCATTAGGGCCAGCTCAAAAAGTATGTATTTTTAAAAAATAAAAATAAAACAGCCACCACCATAGGCAGGGAACCAGAGAACTAAAAGAAATATGCCAAAAAGCTTGAATAATTTTTATTTCTTTTTGAATATGTCTGTCTTTTCCCAAATAATTTTAAAATTATTACTATTATAAGCTGAGAGAAAAAAATCTAAATTGAATGGCCCATCCTATAATTTATAGCTAAAGAGTAATCATCACATATAGCCAATACAGCCATCAGAAACCAGGGCTCCAGAGTTGAAACTGAGGGGTGAACACAGGCCAGTGCTCAACAGAGCAACTCACCTGAGAGCCAAAACTCTGAGGGAGTCATGATTTCCACAGGTCTGTTTGAAGGACACCATCAGTCTCCTCACTTCCTCTCACTCACTGGCAGTTCTCCTAGAACCCTTCTGGTTTACTGTCAACAGTGAGTTACCATTCTTCCCCACCCCACACTCAAACAGGAGATGGGTGTCAAGAATTTAGAGAAGGATATTATCGAACAGCATCTATGTCCAGTCCTCTACTTTGTCCTTCCTGTGTCTAAAAATCTTCCTCATCCCAGATAGCAGATTCAACCTCAGGGAAAAGCCTCTTAACCTGTAAATGACTCCATTTGATACAAAAAGTTATTTTATACTGTTGTTTTCACTGAAGCAGTGGTTTCCAAATGTTTTTTATCATGTAACCCATCAGTAAAAAAATTCTGTGACTGCAACCCCACTGTATTTATAATAAAATTATATGAACACACACATATATAACTGCATTACAAAATAAAACATACAAAAAAAAAAGAAATTAAGAAGAATGAAGTAACAACTATACTACAAACTGAAGTTTGAACATTTACTTCACCAATACTGTGAACTATATTTTACACGAGAACACTCCAGGTAACTCAGTTTGACTGAGAAGTATCAGTGTTATGCTTAGTAACAGTAAGGGAAGTCCTTAAGAGATGATGAGAATCTGTTATTGCCAAAGAGAATTAAGATGTTTACTTATGCTTCCTCTCTCTACTCCTTATCACCTAAGCCATCTATCTTCTCAATGCTTTCTGAGTTTTTAATCTTTTTTTAAAAAAAAAATTCTTAATTGAATAAATTTGACTTGTAACATTGTGTAAGTTACAGGCATACAGCATGTTACTTTGATACATTCATATACTGTAACATGATTGCCGATGTAACAATATTTATCACATTGCATAATTATAGTACAATATTATTGTCTGTGTTCATTGTACTGTGCATTAGATCTCTATGGCTTATTTTACTACGCATTACAAGTTTGTACCCTTAAACACCATCAATCTTATCCCTCCCCCATCCTTTATTCTGAATAAAGCCTATTTACATTCTAGCTCTTTCTCCTCCTCGAAAAGATAATAGTACATTATCCAAAGCAATATGAAATTAATTCCTTGTTCTTTTACTAATTACTCTTCTTTTGTGAGGCTTTAACAGAAGGCTCAAGAATAGAAGAAGCTATGGGGTAATCAGAAGTTAAGTTATAACTCTGAGCCATACTTGGGAAAAAGGTTTGATTAGGTATACATGGATGTATAGGACCCCCAAATGCTTTTCTATCTTTCTCTGTTATGCTTTGTTACATGGACCCAGTGTTCTCTCGTTACCACTCTGCTTACCACTAAAGATATGATTTCACTAGCGTTATTAGTACAGGCTGGTGGTTACTTAGTTTAGAACTTACCTTCAAAATGTAAAGAGAAAGAAATATGCACTCGTTTATTATTCACTCATCGCACTAATGATATCCATGAAGAGGTAAACTTATTATTTTATAAAATTAAATAATATGCCTTTCTAACAATAATGAAAGTAAGACCTTAATTAGCTTGTTAACCTTTCTAAGGACATCAGGTGCGAATCCGTAACATAAATACTGACAGAGCATAGTCATAAATTCTATTAATTTGAATTAACACACAGATGCTCTAGTTTTGTTGCAAGGCCCTTACCAGGCCTACCCTAACCCTTGCCAGGAGAGCTTTCACTTGTTGTATGAACCTGCAATAACGACACAAAGGGTGATGGAACTGATCTTTCCGTGTGCATAGTATGAAATTGGTATATTCTGGTCAAATCTATTCGGCAACTCAAAGACAATAAAGAACTCAAATTTCTAGAATTCTGAGAGTACTTTTGTTTTTGTTTTTGAGTAAATACCTAATATAGTACTTACTTATGTGCCAGGCACTATTCTTAGAGCTTTATATATATTAACTAAAGAATTCTTCAATTTTTTGTGCCATGGACACCCCCGACTCTGATTTGGCAATCTGGTGAAGCCTGTGGACTCCTCCTCAGACTGTTTTTAAATGTATAAAATAAAATACATGTGATTACAAAGGAAACAAATTATACTGAAATACAGTAATGTACATGCTCTTTTATTAAGGCATTAAGTAACAAGATCTAGGGGAAAGTTAATAACTACCATAATTTAAAAGCAGTGATGAACATAATACTTTGAGATGTGGCAACAAATGTAACGTGATATGAAAATATCTGTGACTTCTACTGGTGACAAATCCGTTACTGCAAATACTCTTATGAACTGTAGCCTGTTTCATAACTGATGGAAATGCTAAATTCCAGTAAGAGATTAGTAAAAATTAAAGATGTAACATTTTTCCCATCCCAGTTCCAAACCCTCTGAATTCTATCTATTCTATTAGGAGTGAAAAGCCCCTATATTAACAACTCATTTAACCGTAAGACAATCCTGTTTGATTGGTTGTATCATTATCCTCATTTTACAGATGAGAACTCTGAGGTATGGTGAGTTACATACCACACTACTGCAAAATAAGTGAATTAAGTATGCATGCACCCCCAGTTCCATAAGTAGTGGGACCCTCACCTTGATGGGGGGTTTCCGAGTGATGTGGGAGACAAGGAAGTTCATGGCAATGTCCTCACAGTTGATGTATTCATCCACCATATCTCGGATGGCCTGGGGCATCACGTAAGAATACAGGTAGGCATAATACTGTCAGGGGTAGAAAAAGAATCACATACTCTGTTAGAGGCCACAGTTCTTTGGCTTTGAGCAAAAATATGCATCGATCTAGGGGCTGATAGGAAGTTCGGGAAGGGGGGTAGAGGATGGCTGTGCAATCACTGGGAAGCACCACTGGCATTTAGGGAGGTGAGGCTAGGGATGCTAAACATCCTGCAAGGTACATCTTCTGCAATTAAGAATTATCTCATCCAAACTGCCATTATCACCCCTTTGAGAATCAGAATTTCATTTCATCTCCTTGGTACCTCAGTGATTTTGCAACAATGTCAAGATTCATCAAATTAGGTCAGACTGGTTTAGCTGAACAAGATTCTATCTCTGACAATGGCAATAAGGGATAAGTGAGGGGGAAAGCCTGGTTATCTGCTAAGACCTCAATAAGTCACTGAGCCATGAAACATCCAATCCCTCAGTGCCCCACTTGCGGATTCTAGAATCTGATCACTTTCCACCATCACTACTAGCTACTCCCTGCTCCAAACCACCATCATCTCTTGCCTGGATTACTCATATGGCCTCCTAAACAGTCTCCCTGCTGCCATATTTTCCTCCCTACAGTCCAATTTCAGCACAGCAGAGTGATCATGTTAAGACACAAGTCGAGCTGAGCATGTCACTCCTTTACTGCAAACCCCTCAATGGCTTCCTATCTCACACAGAGTGAAAAAAAGCCTAAGTTCTTACAACGTCCTGCAAGGGCCACAATGTAGTGTGTTGAAGCTGGCTCACACCTGCTATGAACGTCTACTGCTAAATTTTCAGTAATTTTCTGAGACTATTTAGGAATTTTGTGAGCTTGTTATGAAAAAGAGTCATTATTAAAAATATAATTACAGGGGCCGGCCCGGTCGCGCAAGCGGTTAAGTGCACGTGCTCCACTACAGCGGCCCGGGGTTCGCCGGTTCGGATCCCGGGCGCGCACCAACGCACCGCTTGTCAAGCCATGCTGTGGCAGCGTCCCATATGAAGTG